ATACAGAGACTCACGCGCTGGAGATAAAAATGTTTTTTCTGCACAACGTTGCCATTGCTCGCTTTGAAATCCTTGAGTTTGTTAATCAAAAATTCGTCAAAGTTTTAAAAAAAATAGGAAATCGATCCTAAAAAACAATTTCAAATTTCAAATTGGTCTTCCACATGCTCATATTCGTTGGAGGATTACGTTAGTCAAAATTCGATGACTCTATGTACCGTTGTTTTATGACAATACGAGAAATATACATACATTTACGCAGATTTTTCATTATTTAATTTCTTCAAATATAATGCAGGGGACTCTAACATTTATGGCAACAGTTTGAAAAGTGAACCGACATTTTATGAGTCCGACGCAAAATGCCAAAACGAAACTAATAGTCCTTCGGGATTCAAATCCCTTTGGACTAAAAAAGTAATTTTAAATTGAGTATATCTTTAGAATTTCCGACACACAGTCTCGAGCGCTGCAGCTAAAAATGTTTTTTTTTTTTTTTTTTTTTTTTTTTCTGTACAACGTCGCCATAGCTCACTTGGAAATCCTTCAGTTTGTTAATCAAAAATTGGTTAAAGTTTTACAAAATGTGAAATCCATAATAAACCAAATTCCAAATTTGGACTTCCAGTCCCCATTTCGAAGTATAATTACGTCATTCAAAATTGAATGCCTCTAGGTACTGTTTTTTTCACAATGCGAGAACATACATACTTTTGCAGATTCTTCATTTTAATTTTCTTAAAAATAACAGGGCGTAATATTTTGTGGAACGTTTGAACAGTGAACCGACATTTGAAAGGTTCAACGCAAACGCAAAACGAAACTGCGCTACCTCCCTTTGGGCAAATTACAATTAAGATTAGGATATTCCCTTTTTATTCTTATATATATATATAATATATATATATAATATGTAAAATAAAATTCATTAAAATACACTTAAATTCTAACTGTAATGTTTTTCATTTTTTAATGGCGATTTTCTCTTATTTAAAGTACGGGAATTAAATCCACAGCCCCGTAGTCTAGTTTTTTCTCCTTTCTCCCGTACAGTTTATAGAATGTTCTGGAATATTTTAAAGCGAACTGGAAGGTGACGTCTTTCTTGGAAGCTCGCTTTTCCAGAAGCTATAAAGGACTCGCAAAGGAATATCGGTTTTTCTTAATGTAACGATGCAGAACTTCATACAAGAAGTTATTAATAATTCTTTTTTATTTAACTCCAGAAATATGTTTTTCTAACTGCTTTCCCTGACCAAAAAAAATGATCCGTTTTTTTAAACTTATCGTCTGATAATTAAGCACGACTACATCATGATCTTCACCTATCATTTTCCGGACAAAAGCTGGTACATATATATACAATATATATATATATATATATATATATTTGCGCAATTGAGGCAAGTAAGAATGACTCGTATTCGACTAAATGATTTAAGTTCATAAACATTTGATATGCTAAATAGCAGCTATTAGCGCTATTTATCTCTTACCTAATGTACCCACTTTATATATATATAATTTATAGGTATGTATGCCAGCTGAAATATTTAGAGTTTTTCGGGTTTTACGCTGAGCAAAAAGGCGTCGTTTAGAAGAATCGGGTAATTTTTTTTTTTTTTTTTTAGTCCAAATGGGCAATTTGCCTTGAAGGACTATTAATATCGTTTTGGCATTTTGCGTTGAAACGTTTAAGAGACTGTATCACTTTTCAAATCGTTGCCACCGAATATTATCGCCCTGTATTATATCAGAAGAAATTAAATAACGAAGGATCTGCATCAATGTATATATGTTTTTGGCATTGTGATAAAATGACGGTACTTAGAACCGTCCAATTTTGAATAAAGTAATTCTCCGCCGAATATGGGCATCGGGAAGCCCTAATTTGTTTTATTATCTATTTAATATTTTGTAAAATTTTAACGAATTTTTAACGAATTTTTGATTAGCAAACGCAACGATTTCAAGAGATCTGCAGAGCGCGAGATTGTGTATCGTAAATTCTAAAGATAGGCTCATTTTAAAATTTTTTTGCGATATTGGTGTTGAATTGAATTTTGTGTTTTAAGTGCGAATAGCATGATATTTAATAAATAAAGGTAACACAAAACGTTGTGATATTGGGAGGCCCCAACTTTTCAGCAATAGTAGTGACTGCTATGAACTGGAAATTACACAGACTCTTAAGAAGGGTTTAACTCCCTTTTTATTTCACTTTAGAAATCACAGTTGCGTTCACTTGACGCTCACAAACTACGCCGACCCGGCGGTTAAACAAAAATAGAAAAATACGACTAAAAATAAATGACAGGATGAATAACTAACGAAGTCACTATCTACGAGGCTCTATAATCGTAACTATCTTAACCGCGTTCTAAGATACAGTTGAGATTCAGCAAACTTTCTGATTAAGAAGTTGAAAGATTCAACTAACTGCCGAAGTAGGCATACAGGCCGAAACGCGGTTCTTAAATTTCTACCAAGCAACCTTCACGCTCGTGATTCAAGAAGCACACTTACAATCTCGTTTCCCTTCTATTTTAACTCAAATTACTTCTGCTAAAAATTTGAATACTCTGCGCGTTCTACTATGGTTTACATACTCTGGCATTGGCAATTCTAGGGAAAAGTAAAGGCTTGACAGGAAAGATAGCTTAAAATAAATGTTAGTTAAAATAAATATAAACCCTATAACGTTAAAAAAAAGCCTCTTTGGGCGTAATTTAAAATCAGAAACTATTCAGATTTTTTAAGTCTTTTTTATTTATTTATTTTTTATCTCAGATAGGCAGTGATTCTCCTCTTATCTTGGTTCAAAATGAATTACGCAACATTTTACGAAGCTCGAATAATACACTTCGTGGTGAAAGTGGTGTCAAGTCCGACACCAATCCGAAGACACGGATTTCGAGAGAATTCGGAGAGGGCGCAGCTGATGCTTCATGTTTCATGCTTTGAAAACCACGCGGGGCTCGACAAAGTAATAAAATCAATAATTTGAACATATTTGTTTTTGAAAATAAATCCAAAATATCACCCTAAAGCTGAAACGAAGACTTTTAAACTTTTCAAGGAAAAATTATGTTTTATTTCCTTTGTAGAGACACTAGGAATTTTAGAAGCAGGCGAGAGGAAAAATAGCAAACGCCTTCGCCGGGAATCGAACCACGGACCTTTCTAATACGCGCCCAGCGTGCAAACCGCCACACCCCGAAGGCATGCCAAGACAATGGGAGAAATACCTTATACCTTTACTTAAAAATTTCAAATTTTCTTACTAAAATCGCTGTAATAATTGAAACTAACGTCTTGATAATTTATAACCCGTTTAACAAAAGTTAAAAGAAAATAAATAAATAAAATATATGTCCGATAGGTTTCAAATTTTATGTTACGCCCAGAGGGACTTTTTTTAATGTTTTGTGTGTTTACCTTTATTGCTTAAATATCATGCTCTTCTCACTTAAAACCACATAAAGTCCAATTCAACAGCGATATCACACAATATTTAAAAACAAGATATCTTCAGAACTTCCGATAGACATTCTCGTGCGCTGGGATAAAAAAGTTTTTTTTTTCCATACCACTGCTGGCTTTGAAATCCTTGAGTTTGTTAGTCAAATATTCGTTAAAGTTTTACAAAGTATGAAACAGATAATAAAACAAATTCAAAATTCAGGCTTCCTGGTGTCCGTATTCGGGTGGAGGGTTACATTATTCAAAATTTGATGGGTCTAGGTACCGTCGTTTTTTCACAGTGCGAGAAATATACATACATTCATGCAGATTTTTCATTATCTGATTTCGCCCACCAGCGGCCGAGCGGTAAAGTCGCTGAACACTGGTAGTTCGGTCCGAGGTTCGAATCCCGCGAACGGGCTGGCTGCATGGGCGTTTTCGTGGTTTTCCCCATGTGTAACGTGTATACGAGCCAGTTTCCCTTAAAAAGTCCTCCACGAAAGGCATCCCTTCCTTTAGGCAGATAGCCCTCGAGGCTTTGCCATAATCACACACACACACATTATCTGATTTCTCCGAATGTGAAACAGGGCGTTAATATTTGGTGGCAATAATTTGAAAGGTGATTCGCCGTTTATAGCGAAACGCAACAAAACGCCGTTTTGAGATTAATAGCCCTCTGGGCTACAGCCCTCTTGGGCTAAAATGTAACAATTTTTTCATTTAATTTTGGCCGAGAGACATCATTTGAATTTAAAAACTTTGATTAACCCCTTGGGCACGGATTTATTTGAGAAAATATTTGCATGTAGAACGGATATAATTTTTGGTTGCGATTCATCAATAGCTACTTCACTTTAGGAGTATAAATATAACAAAATTTAGTATTTAGATAATCCACTATATTTCTAATCTTTCTTATTCTGTCATCTTTATTTTCCTCTTCATTATCCGTAAAATGTAGAAAGCTTGAAATATCAAATGCCTATCACGTGCCATAGTGCTGGCAAAAACTGGAGTACTTATTGGCATATATTTTTGATCAATACATATGCATTTTTGGCTTCTTCATTTGCGACATCAAGATGCATAATGCAATATAAGCTTTCATTTCATCGGAGCTTACAGGAAACCACATTTGGTTTTATATATATATGTGTGTGTGTGTGTGTGTTGTGTGTTACACAACCTTCTTTTTCTATCACTTGTCTGGCATATCTATTCATCTCTTCTGTCTGGCATATCTATTCATATACATATATATATAGTGTTCCCAAAAATTCTTCATTCAAGACTTGTTAGTTCATTTCAAAACATCTAAAGGCGTAGGATTACCACCTAGTCTACTGCAGGCTCAAAGGATTAATTCCAGATATTTCGGAAAAAATTTTTTATATCGGCTACATTTCCTTCTTCTTCCTTAAATCCATTCCTCTGATTACTGGTTCACGAGAAGATTCACTATCACTGCTCCGATAGACGTCTTGTGCGTCTTCAAAACCTTGGTTTTATATGAATAAATTTCAATTCAATTGTCAATTACAATTGTCATCATTTTCTGGTTCACTAGAAGATTCACTATCACTGCTCGATAGACGTCTTGTGCATCTTCGAAACCTTGATATTATATTACAATTGTCATCATTTTCTGGTTCAATATTGTCTTCATCACTGCTCGGTAGACGTCTTGTGCGTCTTCGAAACCTTGGTTTTATATTACAATTGTCATCATTTTCTGGTTCACGAGAAGATTCACTATCACTGCTCGGTAGACGTCTTGTGCGTCTTCGAAACCTTGGTTTTATATTACAGTTGTCATCATTTTCTGGTTCACGAGAAGATTCACTATCACTGCTCGGTAGACGTCTTGTGCGTCTTCGAAACCTTGGTTTTATATTGCAATTGTCATCATTTTCTGGTTCACGAGAAGATTCACTATCACTGCTCGGTAGACGTCTTGTGCGTCTTCGAAACCTTGGTTTTATATTACAATTGTCATCATTTTCTGGTTCACGAGAAGATTCACTATCACTGATCGATAGACGTCTTGTGCGTCTTCGAAACCTTGGTTTTATATTGCAATTGTCATCATTTTCTGGTTCACGAGAAGATTCACTATCACTGCTCGGTAGACGTCTTGTGCGTCTTCGAAACCTTGGTTTTATATTACAATTGTCATCATTTTCTGGTTCACGAGAAGATTCACTATCACTGATCGATAGACGTCTTGTGCGTCTTCGAAACCTTGGTTTTATATTATAATTGTCTTCATTTTCTGGTTCACGAGAAGATTCACTATCACTGCTAAGTAGACGTCTTGTGCGTCTTCGAGACCTTGGTTTTATATTACAATTGTCATCATTCTCTGGTTCACGAGAAGATTCACTATCACTGCTCCATAGACGTCTTGTGCGTCTTCGAAACCTTGGTTTTATATTACAATTGTCATCATTTTCTGGTTCACGAGAAGATTCACTATCACTGATCGATAGACGTCTTGTGCGTGTTCGAAACCTCGGTTTTATATTACAATTGTCATCATTTTCTGGTTCACGAGAAGATTCACTATCACTGCTCAATAGACATCTTGTGCGTCTTGGAGACCTTGGTTTTATATTACAATTGTCATCATTTTCTGGTTCAATATCGTCTTCATCACCTTCGCTTTGTATTTCATTGTAATTGTCAATTTCAGGATCACTAAACAATTCTTCTTTAGATTTCTCAGAGTCACTTTCGCTATTACTATCATATAATATATTCGTTGTTTTTGACATAATGGGGCAGTGTATCACAAATAATGTTCACCGAAATATTGTAATTGCCTCTTCTATTATGACTGATACAAGCTACAATGAAATGAACATAATTGTGCCTAACCTCAATTAACGTAGACACGTCATAACGTATAAGAGACTGACGTATAAGAGACAAATTCTTCTCCTTTATGTTATGCTTCAGAAAGAAGTGAAAACATAAATATCTTATTTATAACTCATTTCTAGTCAGTTTTCGCACTGGGAAAGAAATCGAAAGCAGGCATGAAAGTTGTAAAAATTGATTTCTTAGCTGTCGATAACTGACAGAAGTGTATTTTCATATTGCTGTTCTGGCGTGGACTACCTGAAAATAAATCATTCTGTATTTCGGTGTGAAGGTCTTAATCAAGAAGTTGAGTGTTTGAAAATGCTAATGCGTATTTCAGAAGCTCACCTGAATGAACTTGCGACAGGATAGATTAGTGTGTTTTTATTTACAGGGGTTGGACAAAAATATGGAAGCACCTTTAAAAAAACATGTTTCTTTGCTTAATATGGTGTAGGAAACCCGTTGGCATCCAAAACAGCTTGCAGTCTTCTCGGAATGGATAAATACAGTTCCTGTATGTTTGCCAAGGGAATATTATACCATTCTTCCTGCAAAACGGTGGCAAGTTCAGATAACGATGTTGGCGATGGATAACGAGAACGCACTTTCCGTTCCAATGTAGACCACAAAGGTTCGATAATATTCAGGTCTGGTGACTGTGGTGGCCAGGGGAGATGGGACAACTCATACTCGTGCTCAGAAAACCAGTCCTGGACAATGTGAGCTGTGTGAACAGGGGCTTTGTCGTCTTGGAAGACACCATCACCATCGGGGAAGAAAGTTTGTACCATGGGATGAACTTGATCGGCCAAAATGTTCACATAAGTCTTGGCAGTCATGTGCCCTGACACAGTTATCACGGGGCTAGCAGAGAACCACGATATGGCTGCCCAAACCATAACAGAACCCCCGCCATGTTTCACTCTTGGCAACAAGCAGTCTGTATTATAGGCTTGAGATGGCGTTCTCCAGACGTAAACTCGGCCAGAAGAGGGAAACAATGTGAAAGAAGACTCGTCAGACCATATCACTCGCTTCCACTGCTCTATAGTCTAGGCTTTATGACTAAACACCACCTTTTCCTCTTACGGGCATTAGCATCACTGATGAGTGGCTTCTCAATTGCAGCACGGCCAGAAATTCCCTGTTTATGAAGCTCCCTTCTAATTGTTTTGGTACTCACAGGGTTTGGTAACACAACATTCATTTCAGCAGTAACTTTTGCAGCTGTGGTCTTCTTATTTTTCGTCACAATTGCCCTTAAGGATCGTCTGTCACGATCACTCAGGACACACTTTCGTCCGCGCTGTGATTTAGCAGATGATGTTTTTCCGCTTTTCAAATATGCGGAATAAATCTTCGATACAGTACCTCTTGAAACACTAAACACCTCGGCTACCTTGCTTACGGAAGCACCTACCATACGTGCTCCAACAATTTTCCACGTTCGAAGTCTGTTTAACTCTGACATAATGCAATGACAACCTCACATAACAGTACTCCGACAACAACTGAACTGTTTAGCACATTTACGAAGTTGTATAGGTGGCGTCAGTAGTCAAAAACGCCAGCGCCACCTACATATTTCATTAAAATCAATCTTTCTTTTCAAACATGCATTTCACAAGGTGTTTCCATATTTTTGTCCATCCACTGTATGTTACATGAATTTGGGAAAGTTTTGGTTCAAATCTTAGATTAAATAAACTGAAAAGTTATATGTTTATGTTGTATTTCTTTCATATATCACTGACATGAAATTTCGAGTCTTTTTCTAAGTATTATAACAGAGTTTACGGACCTATAAATGTATACTTCACTTGATGTTTTAGTATTGTCGCTAACAGTTCAAAAACTATAATGTATGTACATCTGATATGTACATCACATGACTTCCTTGTATGAAATATTAACTTATACGCAATTTTTCCTGCATTTCATTTAAACTTATTCAATTGAATTAAATCTACTTCGTCGATAGCGCGCAAACCACAATAGAGTAAATGTGCTTTTTAAAATTACTATATTTATTTACCATAGCGATACTCTGGCGCTAGGTTCACTTAACAGCGTTATATCTCATTCATTTTATAATTCAGAATGCAAAAAAATGTATATCATCTGAAGAATTATCTAATAGTTGCCACATGTTCCATTCAAATACTAAAATAAATCTAAAACGATGTATAAAAGAAATTAAACAAATAAAAAAAAAAAAGTTTTTCACAGACGATTTAGCGCTGCTTAACTAATGCGCATGAGCTACTCGTAAACATTCTTCTCTGTCAGAAACAGAATGACAACAGTATTTTTTGCTAATATGAAAGAATTACTTTATCAAATTTCATTGGAGATGTATTTCTCATTCAATTAATTTATATCCGCGGCAAAGCCAAAAATAATAAAAACACAAAATATCCATATTAAAAATTGACAGATAAAGAAAAACATAAAACTCCAAATACAGATAAAACAATTAAAAAAAATTTTTACAATTAAAATTACAGTTTCTATGCAAAAACAAGCAATCGGCCAGAGGGCAAGAAGACAGAATTTTCGGTGCACAAAACTGAAAGTTTACTTTTGGCCTCACTAGGCAAAAAGACACGAAAGACGTAGAAACTGATTTAATTTGTTGTGGTATTTTGCTCTTTACCTTTTGTTTAATAAATAAACTTTACGAATAAGTCAAATTTATTTTGCTTCTAACTCTTCCTTTGCCTGATTTTGCATTATCCTTAATTTATGGACATGAGTGCACATTACATACGAGGAAAGCCAAGAAAACGCCCATGAACCAAGAATCGAATCCAGGTCGAACTACCAGTGTTCAACGACTTGACCACTCGGCCACTGGCGGGCTTTCTGATATGAAGCACAACAATATATCCCTAGTTATCATAGCTCTTGCCTGTAATGCGTGAATGCCATTCACATACCTCAGCATGTTCTACCTTTATGTAAATTTCAGATTTGTTGTAATGCTTCATAGTGCATAATTTTAATTGAAAGCAGTGTACTTCAACCTCACAACCATATATAGCAGGGGTTCTTATCGGGAGGAGGGCGCTGTCAACCTTTTATCAAGCATTTGGTTATGAGGCTATAAAACTACTTTTATTCAAGTTTTGGTCTTTACCAACATTTTCCACACTTTTTGTGGTTTAATTTACGAAACGTTGAAAAATCATCTAAATATAGATAAATTTGTCATTAGGTTATTTTGGTGCTGAAAACGTGAAAAATTAGCATTGTCTTTGCCGGGACTCGAACCTGGAACCCTCGAATACGCGCCGAATGTGTTACCCATACACCACGAAGGCATGCAGAAAGGAAGAAGAAAACAGCTTTCCCCCTTTTAAAGAGCGACAGGTGATTGGGAGAACCAATCGCCAAATCCTGATGGTGAAGATTCACCATCCACCACCCTTTTAGTTCGGGCGCCACTGCACAGACATTAGTTTATTTTGATGCTGAAGACGCGAAAAATGAGCAAAACCTGAACCTGGACCTCTCGAATACGCGCCGAGTGTGCTACATCAAGAAGGCATGTGGAAAGAGAGATAAAATACCTTATAGCATATTTATTTTTCGAGATTTGGCAAGAAAGGGAAGGAATTAACTTTTAGCAGTTGTGAAAGGGAAGCGTGGGGCAAAAACGGTTGAGAACTCTTGCTACATAGAGAGCATCCCGTAATACACTGGTTATCATAAATTAAGGAAAAATCACAAAAATAGCGATAACTCCCTCAAAAACTAGCCAAACCATGTAAAATTTGAATATGTTGCCAAGTAAGAGTAGCTGAGTAAAACTGCGATATGCAAATTAGTGGCGTTCCTTTCGGAATGCGTCATCTGAGAGGAGCATAAAAGTCCATGTTTGATGAGAGCAAGCCCACATATTTCACTGTGACAGTGACATCAGAAATCTGAGATAGCCAATTCGTAACAATGATCTCCAGGCATCATTTGCCTGCAGAAACTGCGATAGAGAACCATTGGAAGACTAGAGGCAGGATAATGTCAAACAGAAGTGGCCAGATGGATAAATGTGAGTCCTTCTGTCGTTCATAGACTTTGCAGGCAATTTCAAACCACAGATTCGGCATCTAAGGAGGTTCAGTCAAGGACGGCCAACTGCTACGACGAGCGCCGATGACCGATATTTGACATTATGTGCACGCAGGAATAGAACCGCTAGATCCTCCCTTGCTGCAGCCACCGGAAGGTTCGTGTCAACGTCAACTGTGCGTAGAAGGCTTCACGAAGGTGGTCTGTATGCGAGGCGACCAGCCATTTGTGTGCCACTCACGTCACGCCATAGGAGGGACCGTTTTCAGTGGGCACGACAACATGTCCACTGGACTCCTGATCAATGGATCTGATTCTCTTTACGGATGAGTCCAGGTTTAGTCTAGAAAGCGATATCAGGCGTTATTTGATATGAAGAGAACCTAAAATCCGTTATCATCCGTCAAACATTCGTGAAGAAGATGCATACGGAAGGTGCAGCGTCTGTGTTTGGGGTGGCATCATTTGGGTGGACGCACAGACCTCCATGTCTTTCCAAGGGAATCCGTGAATGCTCAGATTTACTGAGATGACATCCTTGATGTTTATCTGCGCCCATATGCCGGGGCAATAGGTGATGCTTTCCTGTTACAGGACGACCACACAAGACCACATAGGGCTCGCATCGTAGATGATTATCTTCAACAGGAAACAATTATGCCCATGGAGTGGCCAGCTCGATCGCCGGACTTGAATCCTATCGAGCACGTTTGGGATGCTTTAAGGAGACGTCTAGCTTCTCTCAGTTCGCCCCCTCAGACCCTTGTCGCGCTTTCAACTGCTTTGCAAGAGCAATCGCTATCGCTTCCTATGGAACTGATAGACCGGATAATTGAAAGCACCACACATCGCTGTATGTTCTGCATTGCTTCTAGAGGCGATCATATTTCCATATTGAAGGTACTTTTCCTATAGCAAACTGACACCTTCGATTTGTTCATTATACATGTGCTAATTTCTAGACTACCATAATTGTCTGGTAATTTATTTTTATGTTATTTGATATCTTACTATGTGTTGTATATTGTGGGTAAGTTTAATTAAATTCTACATGTAACCTTTTCAGTAACCGTGATTTTTCCTTAATTTATGATAACCAGTGTAGTTCAAGGGGTGAAACGTTAGTTCATTGTAATAAGCCATTTACATAAGAAAACCATTTACATATTTTCAATTTGCATATTTCATACGCAGGAATTAAAACGGAAGGTTTCGTAACATCATATCCATGTAGGAAAATATTTTCCAAACCTTGTTGAGAAGGGTGATATTGCACTATACGAAATATCCAACAAACATTTACGCAAGAACATTTTAAACAGAATAATAGAGTCGCAAACAATAAAAGATTTATTCTTAGAGATAATTTACATTCCATTGCAAAATTGCTTATACAACGATATTTTGCAGCGTTCTTGCAAATGAATTTTATTATTCGTCATTAAGCTTTCTGCTCCCGGCGTCGGAAGAATGAAATTGCCCCGTGATACCGTGACCTTAGAATACTGAACGTCACGTGGTACTCGAGCGTGTTTTGAAATTAATTCTAAACTTCAAACGCAATTCTCATAGAATGTACTTTTTATCCAAATATTTGAATTCTAATACATATTACTTAAATACTATTTTTATAATACAAGTCAAAAATCTTAATATCTGTAGTTATAAAAATTAAAATCTGAAAGCTTTCAGAGTTTATTATTACGCCTAAAGGTTGTAGACGTTCTTTCATTTATACATATACATATATACGTTTCGAGAGCATTTGAGTAATGCTCCTTTGGACTAAAAATATTTAAAAACAGCATATTTAGAATTTACTGTATACAATCTCTCGCGTTGAAGATATAAATATTTTATTCCGTAAAGTTTGTTGCCACTGCTCGTTTTGAAATCGTTGAGTTTGTTTATCAAAAATTCACTAAAGTTTAAAAAAACATGAAAGAGGTGATAAAACAGATTCGAAATTCTAGATTCGGGTTTCCAAGGTGCCAGTATTCTGGTGGAGAACTAAGTGATTCAAAATTTTATGGGTCTATGTATTGTTGTTTTTAACAATGCAAGAAACATACGTTCATGTAGATTCTTCATTATTTAATTTCTTCTAATATAATACGGGGCGATAATATTTGGTGCTAACAATTTTAAAAATGATACAGCCATTTATAGTGATTCGACGCAAAATGCCGTGTCTAGCGTAATAGCCCTTCTAGGTTAAGGCTCCTTTAGGCTAATGAGTTAATACGCAAATATCAATTGTAATGATTCCATTTATGTATTTAAATAGCTTACATGCAATGATGACTTAAACGTAACACTTTAATGAAAACGTAACACTTTAAATGTCATTAACTGTTATATACTGTTTATGTATATTTATACAAAAGAATTTAAGCGTTATGGTGAGATGTTTAAGCGATATCATTAATGCTCTTTAAAAATTCATATGAAGAGGCCCTTTCCGTATATCAAATATGACACTGTGGGCCAGTGGTGATATTTCGCTACCTTCACGTTTATTCAAGTTTGGGTATTTACCAACACTTCTTGTATTTTTTGTCTAATGTATAAAATACGTTAGAAAATAATCTAAATCTAAATAAATTGATATATGCAATTTTCAACTTTGGAAAGGAGGAAGGGAAACTAATTTTCTAGCATAAGTAAAAGATGTGCATGAGGCATTTACGTATCACTAATAGAGAAATTTTATTAGTGAACTTTATTATTGCTTGCTGCTTTTTCCTGAATTTCAGTTCACTCTAAAAGGCTCTTAAACTCCACAGAATTTCACGAGGAGTTGATCTCTTTCTTAGTGAAGGGTGATTGAAAAATAATCCGCAGCTGAAGCAATCAATTAATTTTCTTTATTAAACTGTAGCCGAGGTTGATGAGACTTTAAGTTAGAAAAGCTTCGAGCTAAGAGTCCGAAATTATGAAGTATTTTTAGCTGTTCTGTTTGGCCCATAGTTCTCCTTGTTGATAAGTGCAGTAGAGTTTGACTTGTAAACCCCTTTACCCGGGCAGCCCCTTCAGTCTAGTAGAACGGGAGATAAAGAAGTGCCCTTTTTTTAGTCCAAGGAGGCAATTTTCCCTGAAGGACTATTAACTTTGTTTTGCCATTTTGCGTTGAAAATTATAAACGGCGAATCACTTTTCAAATTGTTACCACCAAATATGATCGCCCTGTATTCTATTTAAAGAAATTTAAATAATGATGAATCTGCACGAATGTATGCTTCTGCATTTCTCGCAGCTTGTAAAACAACGGTACCTAGAGCCATCCAATTTTGAATAACGTAATCTTCCATAGAATATGCGCATGTGGAAGCAGTAATTTGAATTTGAAATTTGTTTTATTATCGATTTCATATTTTGTAAGCACTTTAACGAATTTTTGATTAAAGAAACTAAACGATTTCAAAGCGAGCAATGGCAACACTGTACGAAAAAAACGTTTTTACCTCCAGCGTGCATGACTCTATCGGAAATTCTAAATATATTCTCATTTTAAAATTATTTTGTGATATTGCTGATGAATTTAATTTTATGGTTTGAGTACGTAGAACATCATATTTAATAAATAAAGCTAACACACAAACCGTTGAAAAAAAAAAAAAAAAAAAAAAAAAAAAAAGCTTCTTTGGACGTAATTTAAAATCTGAAACTTTTCAGATTTTTTAATTTTTTTATGCAAGGTGTACATACAAAAAGAGCACTTTTGTATTGTTTGTAAATTGATACAATACTAGCGGAAGTACCCGACTCACCAATTAAGTTAGATTGATAGTAATGTATCTGAAAACATAGAGAACGTCATCTCTGTAATCTATCTCTAATAACGATGCAAGAAATACTATTCATATTCCTACATTT